TGGCTTGCTTCTGTACATCATACTTTTCCTTTAACAGCAAAGTTGTGCTGATCATCTGTCTAACACCTTTTGGGGAAAAATTTTCAAATTGAAATAACATGACTTTTGGTTTGCATCAAAAGTTCATATATAGTTAATCAGGACCTTCTCCTAAGGTTACAATATCTGGTTTCGTCTTTCATCTATCTAACTCCATTCTCAAGATTAAGGAAAGACAGATGACAGTGGAATTTTTTTTTTAATAAGATAGGTCTTAATTGACTATAATAGAATAAAGATGACATTGGGAATTTATAAATCTACAATTTTTTCAAATTGCAGTTTAATAAGTATGACAGCTTTTAAATTTTGTACAGTATGTGATTCTTTGAAAAATTATTACAGAAATGAAATGCTGAAGTACCAAAATTAAGATGTTATAATCCTGCATCTTTACTTTCCCAGTTGTTAAACAGAGGGAAAGTGTGGCAATCTGGCAAAAAATGCCCCCTCCCTAGATTTTTACATTTTTTTTACTTAGGACACCTTGAAATGTTGAGAAATGCAAATATTCAAGGGTAATTTCTATATGTATGGATGTTTGTGTGGGAGGGACATGATTTTGTTCACTCTGTTTGAAGCTTGATAACTCCTATGCTTTTTGTTGACAATTTCTGAAACATATAAGACTTATTAATCTGTTGTAAGATGATATTTTAAAATCACTCAAAATCAGACCTTAAAATTGTAATCACTTTGTGTATTTTTTATTTTTTTTATTTTGTTTAATATTCATACAATTACATCTATAACGCTTAGATACGTTCCACGTTAATCGAATTTTACGTTGTAGGAATAATTAAATACATGAGCCAGTCGCAGCCTGATATGTGTGAAGTTTACGGACTAAGGCTGTTTGAAAGGTTTTCTTCTATAAAATTAACCGATTCTAGACTAATTCCACTCAACATTTCCAAAACACGTATAATTTTTTGGGAATAATCTGTATAAACTATGCTATAAACAAAAAATTATAGGATTACTTACCAAGTGTGNTTTTTTTTTTTTTTTTTTTTTTTTTTTTTTTTTTTTTTTTTTTTTTTTTTTTTTTTTTTTTTTTTTTTTTTTTTTTTTTTTTTTTTTTTTTTTTTTTTTTTTTTTTTTTTTTTTTTTTTTTTTTTTTTTTTTTTTTTTTTTTTTTTTTTTTTTTTTTTTTTTTTTTTTTTTTTTTTTTTTTTTTTTTTTTTTTTTTTTTTTTTTTTTTTTTTTTTTTTTTTTTTTTTTTTTTTTTTTTTTTTTTTTTTTTTTTTTTTTTTTTTTTTTTTTTTTTTTTTTTTTTTTTTTTTTTTTTTTTTTTTTTTTTTTTTTTTTTTTTTTTTTTTTTTTTTTTTTTTTTTTTTTTTTTTTTTTTTTTTTTTTTTTTTTTTTTTTTTTTTTTTTTTTTTTTTTTTTTTTTTTTTTTTTTTTTTTTTTTTTTTTTTTTTTTTTTTTTTTTTTTTTTTTTTTTTTTTTTTTTTTTTTTTTTTTTTTTTTTTTTTTTTTTTTTTTTTTTTTTTTTTTTTTTTTTTTTTTTTTTTTTTTTTTTTTTTTTTTTTTTTTTTTTTTTTTTTTTTTTTTTTTTTTTTTTTTTTTTTTTTTTTTTTTTTTTTTTTTTTTTTTTTTTTTTTTTTTTTTTTTTTTTTTTTTTTTTTTTTTTTTTTTTTTTTTTTTTTTTTTTTTTTTTTTTTTTTTTTTTTTTTTTTTTTTTTTTTTTTTTTTTTTTTTTTTTTTTTTTTTTTTTTTTTTTTTTTTTTTTTTTTTTTTTTTTTTTTTTTTTTTTTTTTTTTTTTTTTTTTTTTTTTTTTTTTTTTTTTTTTTTTTTTTTTTTTTTTTTTTTTTTTTTTTTTTTTTTTTTTTTTTTTTTTTTTTTTTTTTTTTTTTTTTTTTTTTTTTTTTTTTTTTTTTTTTTTTTTTTTTTTTTTTTTTTTTTTTTTTTTTTTTTTTTTTTTTTTTTTTTTTTTTTTTTTTTTTTTTTTTTTTTTTTTTTTTTTTTTTTTTTTTTTTTTTTTTTTTTTTTTTTTTTTTTTTTTTTTTTTTTTTTTTTTTTTTTTTTTTTTTTTTTTTTTTTTTTTTTTTTTTTTTTTTTTTTTTTTTTTTTTTTTTTTTTTTTTTTTTTTTTTTTTTTTTTTTTTTTTTTTTTTTTTTTTTTTTTTTTTTTTTTTTTTTTTTTTTTTTTTTTTTTTTTTTTTTTTTTTTTTTTTTTTTTTTTTTTTTTTTTTTTTTTTTTTTTTTTTTTTTTTTTTTTTTTTTTTTTTTTTTTTTTTTTTTTTTTTTTTTTTTTTTTTTTTTTTTTTTTTTTTTTTTTTTTTTTTTTTTTTTTTTTTTTTTTTTTTTTTTTTTTTTTTTTTTTTTTTTTTTTTTTTTTTTTTTTTTTTTTTTTTTTTTTTTTTTTTTTTTTTTTTTTTTTTTTTTTTTTTTTTTTTTTTTTTTTTTTTTTTTTTTTTTTTTTTTTTTTTTTTTTTTTTTTTTTTTTTTTTTTTTTTTTTTTTTTTTTTTTTTTTTTTTTTTTTTTTTTTTTTTTTTTTTTTTTTTTTTTTTTTTTTTTTTTTTTTTTTTTTTTTTTTTTTTTTTTTTTTGTCAATGTGCCATCACTGTAAGGGATGTGAGTGTCAGGGAATTTAAAACAAAAATTTGAGTAGGAATCCTGTTCATAAAATTTATATATATTATAAATTCTAAAGAAAGTTAGTTTTTAAATTTATCAAATTTTCATAAATGTATAAAAATTCAAAAATATTACAGTATTTACATTTACTTCTGTATAAAATCATATTTAAATTCTCAAATGTTTATTTTAAATTTTTCATAAATTTTAATTATCTGTAGAAACTGTAAAGGAATTTAAAAGCAATGATATTTAGAATTATAAATTATATGAAGTCATTCTACATTTAAAAAATTGTTCAGATTTAATTGTAACATTTTTATTTTTCTTTTAGGCTGAAAGCTTTAGAAGTAGAACCATATTCTCAGGAAGAAGCAGAAGCTGCTGCAGGCATGGGTAATTACGTTCAGCCTAAAACAAGAAAAGTGGAAACGCAACCAAATGTTAAGTCTGAAGCAATGTGTACTACTTAAAAAAGATTTATTGATTTGTAAATAAATACATTAATTCTATTCCTGATCTAATTTAATAAATTTTTTATTTTAAAACTCATATTTATTATATTTTTACTAAACTTTTTAAACTTGTATATTTCTTTTAAATTAGTGTAATAATACAAATAGCAATTAATTTTTTATGTTTTATTCTCTACTCCTAATTTATTTGTCTGAAAATTCAAAAACAATAAGAATCATTAAATATAATACAACTAAATATTTTGCCTAGATAAGTTTTAACCTAAAGACATGTTTCATTAATCAAATGTAAAAACTAGATTTTTTTTTAACTAAGATTTTAAAAAATTTATAAAGTTGAAATTTTATATAGATTTTATCATAAAATTTTCTACTTCAAAATAAGTTGTGTATCTTTAAATAATGTTTTAATTCAAGGAATAAATTTGGCAGATCAATGCTCTTTATTTTTTTTTAAAACATCTGTAAAATGGTTACATGATTCTGTTTCTCAGCCTCTGAAGCATAAAAATTATTTTTAAAAAAGCAGTTTCAAACTGTAAAAAAAAATACATGATTTTAAACACAAACACCACAGCTCACATAAAAATAAAGAATTATAATATTTTATTCTAATTATGCTACTAATTTTTTAGTATTTCCTTTGGTTTATGATACATTTAACATAAAACCGAAATATTTCCGAAGGATTATGCCTTAATTGGTTATATTTTAAACATTAAAAGTTTCCTGGTTTTTAGAAAAAGGTTAAAATAGCCGAACCAAAATAGCAAAGCGAAATGATTATTCTTTTTTTCCAACCAAAACGTCATTGTCCTGTGAACTTATAAAAGGTGTTTTTATTAATGTAACCTACATTTTCCTTTAAAACTTAACTGGTCATAAAAGAAGTCAAAAATCTACTGGCACGATATATAAATTCGTTAAAAAAAAAACTCGTATAATTCGATAGTTAACCATAATTTGATAGATAAAAGAAATGCCCCGAAGCCAAATGAAAAACTTATTGTGTGTAAAGGCTTCTTTCCTGTTAATCACCATTTTCTCTCTCTCTCTCTTTCGGCTGCAAGATTAAGATTGTAACAAAAACCTTAATGAAAAACGGAACTAAAATGGATATGACGTTAAGTTTAATTGTCAATAATTCGTGATCATTCGACCCTGGGTCTAAGCAGTCATGTTTCTTGGAAAAAATAAACGATTTACGATCGTGCAGTAAATGATTAAATATATATTTTTAAATGTATTTTTTCGAATTATTTTCTTAAAAATTCAAAGATTTATATAAGAGGAATATGTAATAATTTCACATTTAAACATAATTTAAAAAAAAAACAACGCAATTAATATTTAATTAACGAAAGGTTAATTAATGTGTGAACTATCGTTTGCGCAATTGAGCTGCGCATTGGGCAGTAGTACACAGTCGACGTCATCGGGCCTTCCGTTGTGTGATATCCATTATTCTAATTTATGATGTCTGGTTGTGTTGCTGTCTAACGAACAGGTACGTGAAGTATTTTTAAAATTAAAACTAAAAAAATATACGTATATTATTAAATAATAGTGTAGACAAAACTAGATCAATAAGACATGCCGGTTAAAGTTGCCTGGAATTGTTGGCAACGCCATATGTAATCGATTCTCCGTTATCTTTTCACTGTTCTCGGTTCCTAGCCTTTCATTTAACCTGGAAATAACACCAAAAAATTTACTCCGATCATTTTAAACTGCTAAGCGATGTTTCGATTTTTATCTGTTAGATGGCTTTTTGTTTTAATTTAATATTAGAAACGGAAAATATTACCCCGTAACGTTACTTAATTGGAAATGAATTTTTTAAAGTTATCGACAAGGTCGGGTCCACATATACGTGTTTTTTATTGAGTCTATGCGAGAACACTATAGCCTATTGTGCTCTCCCCTTTAATCCCGTATTGCGTTTCTTCTTACACACCGTGTACTGTACGTAATGTTCTAGAAAAATACATTTACGTAATATTTAAATATACATATCAATGAAATAACTCGTATTTAATGCATTTTTGAAGGACGGTTGTTTCCTGTGTTTTAATAGCGTAAATTTTTTCTATACCCTGTAATAATTTTGTTTATATATTATTATTTTTTTTAGGTGAAAAATGACGAAATGATGAAAGTTACTACCTTTAGAAGCAAGTTCTATTTTAGATATTTGGTCGTTTTTTTAACCATCGGTTCTATTTTATATTTGCTTTTATATTCGTCAGAAAAGGTGAATGTTCCTTTCCATTCTTCAGAAGAAACTGTGAATAAAAATTATACTATTTTGATATGGGAACATGGAAAGAGGATGCTGAGGAGATTTTTCTATTCTTACGGGAAGACTGAGCTCGATCCTTTCTTAAATTGCTCTGTGAGAAACTGTGAAGTGACAATTCATCACGAAGACTTGAGCAGGAGTGATGCTGTTATGTTTCACTTGCATCAAACAAAAGGACCCCATACTTTACCTAAATTGCGATTACCTAATCAAATATGGATATTTTTTACGGATGAATCTCCATTACACACCTTTCTTCTTACTCGAAAGTATTCGATGAAGGATTATAACGGGTATTTTAACTGGAGCATGACTTATCGTGAAGATTCGGATGTTCCTGCTCCTTACGGAAGGACGATTAGGTTAACGGATGAAGAACGTCGAAACTTACCGCCGTTGCCAAATTTTTTCAAGCAGAACCACCGCTTGGTGTCAATTTTGGGGAGTAATTGTGGAGGTCAAAATCGTAGGTGGCATTACGTCCGCGAGTTAAAAAAATACTTGCAGGTAGATGTGTACGGAGGATGCGGAAATTTGAAGTGCCCTGGACATTTTACGAAAGATTGTGAACCGATGAAAAATTATAAATTTTATCTAGCATTCGAAAATTCAGACTGCAGGGAATACATTACGGAAAAACTCTGGTGGAATGCTTATCACAAGAATGCTGTACCTGTGGTTATGGGTGCACCCAAAGAGGACTACGTGAAATTGTGCCCGCCGAATTCTTTTCTGCACGTAGACGATTTTGCTTCTCCACTAGAATTATCCAAAACTTTACTATATCTGTCTTCTAATGAAACTGCTTATAATAAATTATTTGAATGGAAAAAAGAATATCGCGTTTCAAACGAACACGGTTACTTAGGTTCTCCATCTTTGCATGTTTGTAGAATGTGCGAAACTTTAAACAATCCTAAAAAAATTCCTAAAGTTTATAATAAACTAGAAGACTTTTGGAATCCTACAAAAGATTGCCGTCCACCAAATTGGCAAATTTGAAATGTGGATATTCGTTGCCACAGCTTCCCTTGAAAGGGTAGTCTACACCCTATTTTGTAATGCAGTTATCTCTTTTTCGTAACTGTTTAATAGAAATTAATATTAAATTATCACGAAGTAATTTAGAATATTTTTTATATTTTAATATATTAAATTTTTAATCATGATTGCTTCACTTATAATTTAATTTCCATCTTTACTAATATAACAAGCAATTAATGAAAATATTATTTTATGATTTTAATTCTGAAAAATGTATATTAAATTCTATGAATAGTTATATAACTTTTAATGAATAATTAAATAAACATAAAAAAATTCTTTAAATTTTGTAATAATGAACAGTTCTAGGATTACTGTAACTGGAACTGATTTTAATTTATTAATATTTTCAAACTTTAAACTTTTGTATAGTCAATTGGAATTTCTTAGATGTTTTAATATTGTTGAATTCAGTTTTTTAGTGGGAATGTCATTAAAATACATAAAAAAGAAACAAATCTTTGTATTCTGAAGTTGTTCCAGGAAGTAAGATTAAACTTTTGCAAAAAACAAAAAAATATATAAGATTTTAAAAAAGTGTTCATGCACGAAAGTCTGTTAGACTAAAGTATAATTTTTGTAACGAAAAAAACCTTTTTTTGAATTATAATAAAGAAAAATTTTGGAGAAAAACTATAATTTTATCAATTAATGATAAGGGAATGATTAGGAAGACATTTCACACGTCATCAATAGAATTGGAAATGTCCTTTTGTTCATTTCTCGCTCGAATAGTCAAATAATGCGGAAGCGGACTAAACGACAAAAGGAAGACGATGAGGTGACTTCATAAAACAAAGACCTCATGGGAAAAATGTCAATAAATTTCTAAAATGTTCCTCAACCTATAGTTTTAGCCGAGACCCTTTCGGTTGTGTGGGGTTGATGAATTTGAAAATTAAAGCAAACAAGAAAGTCTAAATACTAGTTTGTTGTTATAAAAGGCCATCTCGGAAGCGATGCAAACAAGTTTTTATGAGGGACTGAGTCACTCCCCCTTCTAATCTAGGTACTTCGGGACAAGAACTCTTCACAACGAAAACATCCGCCGAAAAGGTAAGATTTCCAAATCATCTCAGGTTTAAATACTTAGATCATGTCCACATTCTGTCGCAGCAAAAGACAAAATTTGGCTCTTGTGCATTTTTTTAAAGATGCACTCGCCAAGTTTTCGTAACTTTTGACTCTTCTGAAAATTTCTGTGAACAAATATTTTATCTTTCCCCCGGATATAGGAATGAGGAAGAAGAGATGCCCCACTGACCGACAATGACCCGCTTATCGTGTCCATTAACCGTCATATTGACAATATTTATGTATGACACAATTCGTATTATCTTATTCTCATTCTAACTTCTTTAATTGCTTCGTTAAAGGTTGCAAATTTCCATCGGCTTCACCATACGTTTAGATCCGTTACTCTGTTAAACGTATTTTACTCTGCTAGATGGCAGCAACAGTCGTCTTATTATTCAGTTTCGTTGTATGCGTTCTAGGTAAGATATTACCTATTTGTTTTTGGATGTTGGCTCTTTTTCACAATGCAAATATTTTATAATTACATTATAACTTATAGGTAAAGGTCCAGAAAGTTCGTGCGCTTTAGAAGATCGAATTTATCGGCATGGAGAATCTGTAAAAACTCAATCACCATGCGATAATTGCTTCTGTTTCAAGGGTTCCATCATTTGTTGGAGCACCGATTGCCCCACGCATCCTGATAAAATTCAATGTAGGCCCGTTTATTTGAAAGGCGTGTGCTGTCCTATTTACGAATGTCGTGAGTACCGCATCTAGGTGTTTTATTATATGGCACTCATCTCTGCGTGAGGCCAACATGACGCATGCAGTGATTGGTGCCTTGGGATAACATTTTATTTTATTACTCAATTTAGAACATTTCGATCCTAGTCTGAAACAATTTCTTATTCTAGCGATATCTTCCATTGGAAAAAATTCCTCGTCTGAAGAGAAACCCGCAACTTCTGACCAAACTCGAGATTCTACTGATACACCTTCTTGTAAGTATTAAATATAAAGAAAGGGGGAAATTATTTATAAAATCTTTTTCATTTTTTCTTTAATATTTTTTGTATCAACTCATTTTGGTACTTGTCCGCTGATGAGATCAGCTGTGACGTATATGTCGCTTCCCCGCGTCTTGGCTTCGAGTGCAGATTATAAACTTATAATTCATACGATATAAACTTGTTTTCACTAAAATTGTAAATTTTAAAAATATTTAAAATATTTTTAATGGAATTAATGAATAATTGGGTCATTAATATTGAGGAAGAATCGTATCTAATCGATGCTAAATGATAATAATATTTTGCTTCGTTTTCAAGCGTTCAGATGGCGCTACCGAAGAAAAAAAAATACAACTCGTTCCTAAAATATTTATATAATTACTTAAATTATCCAATTTATTTTCTCATATTTATCTGTTTGCGTTAATTTATTATATTTAATAATATAAACTTTATTAATCGAATGCCGCCATCTGCCGATGAAAATAAATTATTTTCTTTTTCTTTTTTTATTATTTTTTTCTACTTCAGATATTTAACAAACAATTTTGTAATAACTTATTTTCTTCATTCGCTTTCGACTTCAATTCACGCATATTAAAGTCATTAATTCATTTAATAATATATTACTCTCGTCTTCTGCTGATTGTTAAGATTGCGCATGTTCCAAATGATTCTTCGAACATGCGCAATCTTAACAACAATCAAGATAATGTTAATGGAATTGACTGAGATAATTTTTTCTTATTCTCTTCTCGCCTTATTCATTAATTTTTTTATTTCTTATTTCATTTTTTAGACTGTTTAGTGGACGGAACAGTCTACAAAAAAGGCCAAGTGATTTCCTCGGCCACCGGTCCGTGCATTCTATGTCGTTGCGGTTCCAACGGTCAAATCTCGTGTCAGTCCCGTCCCTGCCCGTCCGAGATCAAATCCCCGGATGCCGGGATCCATTTGTCTTCCGACGTCATCAAAATCAAGGCAGCTAGACATAGAAGAAACATCTATTAATTTATATGTACTCATTAAAAAAATATATTATCGTCTATTTTATTACCGAACGTAAAATAACAAATAATAATAATATTATTAATAGTAAATCCAAATCGCATTGTGTATTTTCTTCGAGGTGAACAATGACCGCCGGAAACAATTACCGCTTGACGTCATATTAATCGCACCTTCCCATAATCCTTTCGGAAGTAAAGGAAGTGGAATGAACGTGTTACTCCGGAAGTCGTCTGTGATGATAATGGAAAGGTGCATCCTCGCCAAACAGCAGTAAAGCCACGGTAATTAGTATATATTATTAAGATTTCCAATAGAAAACGGCATTGTTTCTCTGTTGTTCGCTTGTAATAAGCGACATTACGACTCTCATTGAGTAAGTTAATCTATATTTTAACAATGCTTGGCGTAACTGATTGAGCTTAAATTCTTTCTTGTCTCATTACTCGGAACAATAGAGGTGCTGGAGGTTGACGATCCGAAGATGCGTCCATTGGTCACGCGTACATATTTTTTTCTTTTTTTGTCTTATTTCCCGGGAGACTAGAAGAGTTTTCTGTCGTACTGTACAAACGCACGTGTTGCGACGCGTTCTGTGGCATATCTAGTCCTGTCACATGATCGGGTTTCGATGCACCTGACGCGTGACGTAATACACTGAAATTGGAGTTCGTGCAGTTAAGCCGGAATTCGTTGTAGCGAAGAATAAATATAAAATTTGACTATCCGCGAAACGCGTTTAATTGTGTATAAGCGAAGAGTGATTAGACGCGACGCGACGCGACAAAGCTTCGTCGCGTCGCGTCTATCCATCTTTAACGTACTGTACGCGCTCGTGTTTTAACCTAACTGTCGACAGGATCTTGCATTTCCGTTAAAATGACATTTCGGGATAAATTTCCCATACTTTTCAATGGAAATTAAGCGGATTTAACAATAAGGATAGTGGTTTACTCGACACGTGGATGATGTATAATTTACGCCACTAAATCTGTATCGTAAACATTTCCGCTTACTCTTCTTTTTTAAATCTCTTTAGAGATTTATCAGCGTTTCGATTCGAATTACGATTGCGACTATAAATATATATATTTATTTATTTATTTAAATAAATAAAGGCGTAGATAAAATGACGTTATTCGTAAATTACGCGGTGGTTGAAGATAAGAATTATCGCGATTACTTTTATTATTTTTTTAAATATTAAATTTTAAAACATTTAAATCACGATTGCATGTGGATTCGTAACCGCAGCGGGGTCATTGTGGAGCAGGTTTTAATCGAACAAAACACAGTACAACAGAAGTGTAGCGTGGTAACGGGAAACAATGTTTTACATTGTCATCCGAGTGGTAAACCTGCGTGGCTTTCTATAGAACAAAAAAAAAAAAAAAAAAAGGAAAAAGCTCACCCCCGCTCCCGAAAGGTCATTTACCACTAGAAGAGTCGTTAGATACTTTAATTTTGTTCCTTTTTTAACGGCTTTTTGAGTTTAAAATGTTTACTTTGAGGTACACACGCGTTACAAAGAAGAAAAAATACTCCATAAAGATTTCATCACGTTAATTTTAGTATTGATCGGTATATTGTACACTTATAAATAATAAACATGTATATTTATCAATAAATATCCATTCTATGTTAAACACATGGTATAAGTCCGTTTGATACAAGTTACAAAGACAAGAATGCACCCAATAACATTATGATAATAGTCTACACATTACAATTATATAACAAATTTCTGATTTTTTCTCTTTTTCACCGGCACATAATCACGTGTTCTGTAGATGGAATGAATTTTCATAATAATAATTATAATTATATAATAAGACCGTACATAAAGTCATCATCAGTTCTTGTATGTTCCTTTCCAGCATACATTCATCTCAATAAGAGATCCGGAAAGGAAAATTGGTAAATTAAAATGGGATACTGATCGAAAATAAATAGTTTTACTTATTTATTTATATATAATGTAGGGAAAAATCAGGTGATGAGGATGCTGAACTCGTAACAGTGTTCAGAGATAGGTAGAAAATGGGATTTCACCAACAATACGTCCGGCGCGAAACGAAGGAAAAACATTCTTGAACATCATTTTATATATTTTAAAACCAGGAATGTTGTTTTTCGTTTCGCGTGCGAATTAAGTTGGTTCGTTGATAGCAAACATTATTATTTATTTATTTTTTGTCCCGAACAATGTAAAAATATCTTAACAATTACAGAAGTGTCATCGTCTGGTTTTTTCCCACGGCACAGAATTAATTGGAGTACAGGTTGGCCTCCCGCTAAGGTGCCGAATTTAATTTTTCGAGAAGAAAAAAAGGTCGAAATCATTGCGCATAAGTTGGGAAAAATTTTTAGGTGTTTGTGCGTTGAACTGTCAGTGGAGCAGAAATCCTGTGGAGCGGGCCTAGCGTGGAACTGTCTTACTTGACAGCGTCGTGCCGCCTACGAGTAAGGCACCGCTAAAGCTCACCTGCTCTGTTCACACACTCACGTGACTGCCCGATCTTCTCCCTATCCACCTTGCTATCTATTAAATAATTTAGTGTGGAAACGTGGAAATCCGCAGAAAGCAACAAAAGAAATTGTGCAACCTTGCAAACATCCTGTGAAAATAGCAGGAAGCCGACCTATTGGTTCAGAACCTTTTAAAAGGAAATAGGTGTGGGCTGGCCATCTCTATTAGGCCAAATTATGGGCAGCGTTACCTTTATCTAAAGGCTGCCAAAGGAGAAATGACTACGTATTCGACGGGATATACATTTAATAATAATTAAAAAGTGTTGAGATCATTGGACTAGTGGGGTCTAGATCGTCTGTCCAGAAGCTGCCTGGACTCGGATTTTGATTATTACCAAAGGGGGGACGCACGTGACTAGGGAGGGTTTGTTATGGGCCTTTAAGAGATCCTTGTTATCTCCGAAATATATATTCTCTTCTATTTACAAGCTCTATCCTAACCTGAAGTGACGCCCTGGGTGATGGGCTAAGTCGATAAATAAACATGAGATCGTAGTAAGCTGACCTTATTGAACATCTCGAAGATTAGAAAGCGGTTTCCTTTCTCGTTCTTCTTCTTTAAATAGCCATATTTACACTTTGTACACTTTTTTAAGCATTCGCTCTTCTTTTTTCTAATAAATATTGATAGGAGGGGAGACCAAGTCCTTTCCTAAGATACAAGAAATCAAAATAAGTAACAGGAAAAACAAAAAAGAAATTTTGCCAAGTAAAACAATGGCGGTTGTTTAGTTCATTTACCTGTTATTATTAAGAAGGAGCCGTTCTTCTTACTTTCAGCTTGGGAGAAGGGGGAAGGCTCAGTTTGGTGGAGGGTTTCCTTTTCCGCATATAATCTGCCAAGTAACGTACATCGATTAATAAAACAACAAAGAAAAATCGAGTGAAAGTTGAGATTTTGTAAACGGGGGACCGACAACCGCATTCATAATACAAGCAGACGATCGTTGGGGCGAAACGTATTTAATCAATCCTGTGACACTTTTTGGCACGGGCATGGTCTAACGAGCATGAAAATGAAACGCATTTGCATTATTCTCGGCCATATGTTGTGCTAAGACGTTGCCGGATCGACTGGCCACCTAGAGCAGTTTGCTCGGGGGCCGGCAGGTGGTACGCTAGGTCCCCGAAAGTTTCACCCGCCCCTTCCACTACCTGTTTGTCGTAGCTCGCACCTGGCTCCGCTTTGTATTCTTTCTCCAAGTACAATACTCCTGCAGGTCCCGAAATTTTTGTAGGATTGCTGGAGTTTTACGATTACCGCTCTCATCCCGGCCCGACAAAGAAAAAAAAAAATATATATATATATATATTGTGGGGATCGATACGTATCGGCCTGGTAGGAGAGTAGGAAGAGGGTGGTAGCCGAGCCCGTGCGCCGCCACCCCCCGAAACGGCAAGTGGACTGGCCCACTAACGGCCTTTTCCAGCCCGGAGGGATCGATCCCCCGACGACTCGATGCAGTCTTTATTACGCAGCTAAATAAATATGCATCTGGTGCCGCGCAAGCCCGCTAACTGTCGAGGGGACTCGACGAGGTAGCAAAGTGCAGCGCCATTTTCTGCACGGCGCGCAACCTTGCACGGGAGGTGGTGGGTGGAGTGGGTTTATCTTTTTTCCCGTCTCAGACCGATTGCAAAATCGCGCACGCACCAGCGATTGGCATTTTTAAAAAGGACGAAAGGGAGCGAAGAAATGAGTGCAGAGCACTTTTTAAAACGGCTGCCGAGCTTCGAAATAAAATGCACGGGAGGAAAAAAAATCGTCAACTGGGCCAAGGACGCCGGCGGTAATCGCGCGCAAACTGGTGCACCCACTCTTCGACACATATGTCACAGGTAATAGTCGTCTCCGTCTCCGGCGCAGCGCTGTTTGAAACGCATCCCGGGCCTTGCAGTCGCGTCACAGCTGTTACCTGGATGCGGCCCGACGCGACGCGTTGCGAGTATCCTCCCGAGCGGCCGGGGTGCAGCCACGTTATTTAAAAAGCGACCGTGTAGTGGCGGTTGGGCCGCGACGCCATCACGCTAATACCCGGATGTCAAGCCATGGCTGTAAACACCGCGTCGCTTATAACATCATCACCTACCTGTTATTTTCGCCTGGTTTTGGTCGCCGGACGTCTGTTTACGACTAGAGACGTCACTAAGCGGCGTTGGTGCCACGCTAGTGACGCGTAACGTCACTTGTACGTTTTCGGAATCCACTCTACTCCACTGGTAACGACCTTGAAGAGGTCTTTCCTTCTTAAAGTCGAAATTCCATCGATGCTGCTGTTCTCTGTCGATTTTGGCCAGTTCTCGATCTAGGATGCTTCTGGTTTTATCATGATCGACCGGGCCGAACAGCACACGTCGCACGCTTCGTCTTCCCGATAGCTCCGTTACCCTGCTCAGTTCCATCCCAATGGGACCCGCTACCTCCGTGCTCATGCTTTAAACTCCCGCTTTGGACACGTTAAACTAGCAACACCTTCGCGTCTGTGTCGACTTTTCGATCTGCGTCGAAGTCGTAACATGGACTCGCTTCACCAGGCTGACGTTATTTTTATCTACCAATGGCGTTCCTCCCGACGCAGCGTCGGGTCATAGGGCGACGCGCAGCCAATCCACTTCCAGCACGGGCGCCTCCTATTGGACGATCTCCTAAGCGTCGTCTATGATGTGATATACAATATTTTAAATGTCCCTGGAAGGATCCGATTTTTGAAAAACGTCACGAAAAAACCGTTGCCAACGACTAATTATAAATTAAACTTTCCGTCTGCCGAAATTCCGTCTCGGAGGCTCCTCCCTTGACGTCCCAATGCTGCTGTTAGTCGGGGGCCCCCTAAACGTTTTCTGGGAGGAGCCGACGTGACGTACCGGCTCCCCCACCCCGACTGGCACGCGCCATATGGCACGAGCCGAGAGGGGCCTCGCTCGTGCTATCTACCCAGTCTCTCTCTGCAGAAACTGCAGCTTTCTTTGTCTGCCGCTAGCATCCGTTTTCTCTTCGGAATTACAGAAATGCTCGTTGGTAGACGGTACGCTTATACCGTCCACTTCCATAAGGACAGGTGTAACCATGTGTACGTGTAGCTCGTAAACTAAATACACCCTCTACCGTTGCACTACTCACTTTCCTAGAAGACGAGCATCGTTTATTCGCCTCTCTATCCAAAATCGATCGGTGAGATTGAAGAATACGTCACAGTCTGGCGATTTTCTCTCTCTGTGTGTGAGCAATTTTCCAATAATGCAATTTAATTATCGCTTGCTCGTAGGATAAATGAAACGGTTTATAGAAATAATATGCTCCTACATTTCTCCTAAACGAATTACAGACGAGTTCGAATCCCATCCAATTTAATTAACTACGTTTAATTCTACTCGTTGTACGTTGGACATATTTTTGTTTTCCTTCCAGTTATATTTGTTATCTGAGTAGCCTATTTTCCCGGGAAACACGTATTTTTCTTAGAAGCATTGTTTATTCGAGATATCCTCTTTTAGATTACATATTTTTATTTTTTTTTCTACCGTTTATCTACCTTTTTATCTATTTGCTTATCACTTTTTCCATTTTTTTTTTCTTCGGGACATCATCATCTTACCCTCCGGTGACATCTTCGTCATCATCCTTTAAGTTTATCTTCTTCTGAGTATAGCTTTGCCTTCATGCCAAAATGTATTTCCCTTTTTCCCATTTCCTTCTAATTTTTAGCCCATTGCATATAACTTATAATAAGTAAGCCTACACCAGTGGTTCTTAATTATAACAGTTGCGAAATTTAACACTATTGTTAATGTGAAATTCACATTTTGTTTGAATAAAATCGAGTCGAAATGTCTTCGAATAAAAAGCATATTGGGCATATGCTTTACGAGTTTTGGAAAGGATATAACACCGTACAAACAGTAAATAATATTCATAATGGGCATAAAATAGCCCGGCACTTTCATAATTTTGCTGAGTACATGAAACAAGTTGGCGGAACACCGGTTAAGAATCACTGGCCTACACTATAAGGACATAAGCAAGAAAATTGATTGACTGATCGAGGGCTTTCGCACAACATTTTCTAGATTTATGGCGAAAATTTCGAAGTAAAAATAATATAAATGAGCCCATTACTAAGAGAAAGTCGGATACTAAATTTAGTAGCGAGGTCCCTCTTCTACATCTTTCTAGCATCCCCAGTAAGAGACGTGACGACAGCCACACGCGGATAGAATGTTCCTACCAACTGAAGCTTTTTGTCCTTTGCATAAAACTTTTAAGAAAACTCGAGTATTTATTCTTTCTTCTTTCTTTAATGCAGACAAAAGCCGCTTTATTTAAAAGTAGGCCTATAACTAGAAAGTGACATATAAGGGCCATACAGGAAATGACATATGAAGAATCAATCTGCGTAGGTGGAATCTTGCCAATATCTAATTTTGTTTGCATCATTATTAGAGGTCTTCGTAGACATACGTGGCAGGAAAGCTCTCCTCGATTGGTTACAGTAAAGTAAGATGGTAAAAATATCTTTTCTGTTAATTAGGACCTCTGAGTTTTAAATGAAACTTATAGTTTTTTTCTAATTGTTTCTTAATTAGTGGGAGCATTTAGTAGGTGTAATATCTTAGCCAGGATTATGGCAATTAGAATTATCCAATTTAAACTAATGTAGGCCTAAAATTCTTCACTTAAACGGCACAGAAACATGCATTTGAGTGAGGTAAAAGAAGATACATAGGGAATGTGTTCTTGCTGAATATAGAAAATATAGGCCTACCCCAATAGACGAAACAAAAACAAGGTTGAGAGTAATCAGATATTTAAGTTTACATTTTTATCGATTTTAGTGATACAGCTGCAAATAATTCTAAAACAAGCGGAAGAATTATAAAAAAATAAATAAATAAAATGACACTATCAACTCATTAGTTTGCACTGAATAAAACTGAATGTGTTTAATAATTCAGTTGAAAGACTGTGACAGACAATATCAGTTTTATGGGAAAATGGGCAGATGAGCTTTCAAAATTTATTTATTTTGTGTTAAACATTGAGTAGATAATTTGTTAATTTTAAATTTGCAATTTCTTTCTCGAGCCGCGGATTTCTTTATTTTCAGTGTCTTCGACGTTATAAAAGAAAAATAAACAGGGAATGAGTCGTTTTAGAAACAGCTTTCCACATCTGTGAAAAGCAGGCTGCATTACTGTTAATCTGTTCGAGAAAAATGTAACTTAACTCTACGAATATAGACCTAGATCATATAGTGACTTTAAAGCAGATGATAATATATCCCCCCTCAAACAGGGAATATTGTTCTTTAATATCTCTTGTATAGAAATATCATCTGCTCTCTTGTACAAAGGCAGATGATAAAATATAGGCCTACTTTTATAAGTTAGGCAATATTATTTCCCCATTATACAGGACACAAATGTTGAGTCCTGTTACTAAAAATGGGTTTTATGGATATAAACCATTGATGTGTGCGTCAATATTGATTGATAGTGTTTATTATTTTTTTATACACCAGAGAAAAAGTATAATTCTTAAGTGTGGTTTCAGGTGACAAATAGCTTGCACTAGTACTTCCATCCGGGAACAGCTTGACATATCGGAAATTGGGCGAGTCGCGGTGGGCTGAGAGACTAATGGGCCGGTGCACGGGTCTTGCGGGTCGGTTGCTTGGTCACGTTTTTATATTTACCGACAGTTTGTGGGCCGCTTTGGAGAGAAATTGCCATTCGATATTTTCCCTTAATTTAATTTGAATTTACAAAAACAGAAAATGGGACAATTATTCTTAGGCCTTAGCCTAAGAAGAATAATTACTCAATTCGATTATTTTGCTAAATCTATTTTAAAACAGAATATCAATATATGCCTCAACCGTATGGAAACAGGCCTATTTTACGCTTAAGCAAACAACACAAGTCTTGGGACCTATAATTATGTGAGGCCTACGATAGAAGCCAATGTATTACAATGTATTACACTAATATATATAGAGAATTATCATTAAAAATTAAAATTTATTTGATTATTCCATTAGATTTCAATCAGACCAAACCTAGAAATATAAGATAATTGAGTATAAACGTATATTCATGTTTAACCCTTTGTTCTCAAGAAATTTTAATAAGTTATATGCTGAAATATTTTGTTTTCACATTAATACACAGGCTACAGATAGAGAAATGTTTGATCACCTCTGCCTTAATCATGTGTTTATATGAGGCATATTTCTATCCATTTCTTTGAATATATAACATTGTCAAATCAGTTAATATCACTGTAGAATGTAAAAAAAAATATATATATATCTTTATATAAATAAATAACACATCACTATTTAGGAGGCCTCGAAATAATTTTTATCTTGGAGCCGAATGAACATAAATTAGACGGTTAATGGGACCATACCGGTTGGCCTATTTCTTACTGTGATATATAACCAAATATTCTACACAATATCTCAATATAACCTATCTTTCTTTTCCATTTGGGTAAAGATTAAAAAATAAGTGCAATACTAAGATATCTTAGTCAGAAGATAGGCCCTACTCGACTATTACATTAAGAAGTAATGATGCTTTACAAGCATTTCAACGATAAAGCAAGCTACAAAACCTTAATTTATTCTATATTATAATTAAAATGTTTGAAAATAAAGCGATTTTCGGATATTTTAATAAGAGTTATAACAGAAAAATGATAAAATTGTTATTTTTTGAAGGCCTATGAATAATTTATATTACTAAAAATGAAGCTTTAGTGAAAAGAAGTTTGAAAGGCCACCATTTATTTTCGATTCATTCACAGATGGATTAATTTTTTTTCATGAATTTAAACGATAATAACAGCTTATAAATAGAGCTAAATTGAGTGAAAATCTAAACTTAAACTCGAAATTTTAACGTTAATTCTGAAAATTATTGTTCATAATCGAAATTTTCGATTGTGTTGTTAGCGAAACGAAGCAATGAAGCTTAAATAATAGAAGGCCTACATTAGTTATTTAATTAAACTGAAACAAAAACGATCGATATGGAACAGACCCTATAGAAGGAGTATGATTAGAATATGGAAGCGAATGAACGGTACCACTTTGTTACTTTTCTTTGTAATTTTATCAAAATATTAAGCAAATAAAAGATGTTACAGATACAGGGCCTTTGTTTGCTTTTCCATCAACACATTATCTGGACCGTCAAATTGTAGCCAAGAAAGGATATGGTTTGTGGTTACCCTGTTGGCAGATGGCTCGTCGCCTGTCGATTTTAACACGAAAATGCTCTTGTCATCAACGTATGGCTCCGACTGGCTCGACTCGGCGTCGATGATCGAAAGCGATTGGCAAAAAAACACCTGCTCCATGCTTACCCCCAAAGCCAATTAACGGCGGATTTAAATCCCTTCTGCTCCCCTCTGGCTATTACGGTACGTCACGACCCAGGCAGCATTTGGTAAGCACCCAAACGCCAGGGAAGAAGTGGAATTTTGTAAGGTTTTGGGATATCCTGTCTGCGCTGACACGACAGGAAGGGCAGGTTGGTCGCTTTTACGGTTTCTTACTTGGCGCAGGAAATGGCTCACTACGCTTCACACTTGACAAACTGTTTAAAGCCCTCGTCTGGGAAACTTTCTTCTTGCTTATTAATTGTATCTCGGAAACACTCGTTATCTCACATTAAGAAGCAAACGAGAAGCAAGATGGAATCTGCCCTGTTGTCCAACCAACGCAATTATAAAAGTCTCGGCAGGTATCTCACCGGGGTCTTCGTAATTTCGATTCGAAACTGGATCGTTCTCGTAAGATAAGGCCCACGTAACACACCGGGAAACCATTCTTAACCTCTACGACCCCGCGAGACGGACAGGTTAAAGGCCTTATAATATCCACGTCCTTTATTACTAGATCGTATTTTAGCCTAACGACCGTGTCTTTATATGTCTGTTTATTATAAAAATCACTTAGGAAAAAAGTAAATAGCCAGGATAGTTTCCTGAATATTCTGGGTCGTAACAGAGAGATAAAGACGGTTAGAAAATTAAAAAAAAAACACACAAAAATAACTACAAAGCCTTAATTTTCCATCTTAGTTTTGCTAACCGAAAGTAACAAAACGGGTGGAATTGTTTTATAACTCCAATAAAAATTATGGAATAAAAATTATGGCAATAAAAATTATAACTTCAAAGCCCTAATTTTCCACCTTAGTTTTGCTAACCGAGAGTAACAAAACGGGTGGAATTGTTTTATAACTCCAATAAAATTTATGCCGAAGACAAGCGAATTGCTTTCATATTTTAAGACGGTTGTAACAATCAAAGAGTGTTCACAAATTTCATTACTAATTAGGGACGTTCTGCTCTGTTACTTTACAAAATTAGAGGAAAAGAAAGGGTTTAGATTGTAAATGAGAGGGGGTTATGTTTTTTAGTTACTTTCTACTGTTTTATTAAACAAAACTATAATTTTAAAGCCTTAAACTTTTTAAAATATTCTTTTGTAGGGAAAAAAAGAATACAGATACATCTTCTCTTTGTTTCCGTTGTTTAATAAACATCAGAACAGTATGAGTGAAGTCGTGATAGGGGAACAACCGTAACTTCCTTTACAGAAGAGTAGACAACAGCTGTTTCGAGAACGGAGCCGTAACCTACCTTTAACTTTTTCTTCCTGGATAGTGATCCTTAATTATAAATACAGTACGTAATTGGTCTACTTTTGTTAGAGGTTATCTCGAAAATCCTACACCAGTTCCGGTCTGGAAAAGTATCGAAAAGTTAGCATTTATTTAAACAAAACGGCGTTTAAATCTATAAAATTTCGTTGGTAAATTACAGATATTTTTGTCTGTTAAATTCTAGAAAAGAATTAATAATAATCGTGCAGACGTCTCGGGAAAACGATTAGAAGTGATGCAATGACTTAAATGCCATATATAATTGCGGAGGTGACCATAATCGACCGTCTAGGATTAAATTATAGGATTTTATACGTCTACGTTCGAAAGTGAAAGCCTCTCGAATGGAACCGATCTGCAAATTTAACAGTATGAGGCCCCTTGGAATTTTTCAGGCTATCCTAATAGAACGTCTCCGATTATAATTACCTGGAAGCACGCCAAAATGGACAAAATCACGTGACTGTGCCTTTCGTGACATCGGTACCGAGTCACGTAATTATTGATGGATTAGCGTCACTAGACTCGTGATTTTAATGAAGCGAGGCCATCTATCTCTCTAAGATTTGTCTACGGAGAGGGTCGTAGTAAGTTTATGGCTCTGCACAGATCTGTATTACTTGTTTATATATTTATTTTCGAGGTTTTAAAAAAGTAAATTATGTAATTAATAAACGTAGATCTAAATGACTTTATACTCGAGATTAATCCCGGATTAAGTTGGATCTGACGTATACAAACACTAAATGCTGTACCAGCACTCGTTTTTAAGCCACATTTATCAGTTATTTTATAAGAAAACCATTAATTGAAGGCCTGGAATAAGTTAGAGTAGGCCTTTATTATATTCATTTTTTTACATTAATAAATAGACCAGTTTGTTAAAATGATAGGATATATTTCTTTTCTCTTGTTGAATATCCTAAATCAGAATAAATATTCATTAGCTTCAGGATTTAAACATTTGATTGGTGAATATTTTTCATCCTATCTGATCTACTTGATTGATATCTTTTAGTATATCCATGTTAGGGATATTCGATTTCGGCTGATGAATATCTCACTGTAAAAGTAGTCTTCATATTTGACTTTAAATGTGAATATCCAGATATTTAATAGGTTAAGAAATCCATTATCAGTCCAAGTTACAATATTCGATTTCGATTTGACGAATATTTTACACCGTAACGATAAAAATTCCTAAATTTTCGGGCGCTTAATATCCCACGTTGGAATTTTAACTAGCGAAAAAAGATTGTAATATATAAATAATTAAATATCTTATGTCCGGATATTCGGCTTTCTGCCTCGATGGATGCCCTATTATATAACAGAATGTACTAAGAGATTCGGTTTCTTATAATATTAGATATTGGCTGCTTTGAATTAGTCTAATGCTTTAAAAATATACCATTCAACCAGCGAATATTCAGGAATATTTGGCAATTTATTTTTTGTCATTCGGCTTGTCAGAAACTAAATATTTTGTCGTTCTACTCCACGGATTTTTACATAGCTTACGTCATTGCAAGCAACAGGAGAGAAATTTATCCGTAGAATTTGATTTAAAATATTATAGATTAAATTAAAAGGAGGAGAAAAGGTAAAGTGGGCAAGTAAATTCGTTTCGTGAATAGAAATAATTTTTTTTTTCTTTTATTTTTCTTAGAATTCTCCATAATTAATGAGCCGAAACGAGAAAACTTGAATTTACTTTTTCTCGTTTAATGTCTATTAATTATAAATTTCGACTTGACTAAATTAAATATAATTTTTTTTTATTAATAAATTCAGAGTTAAATTATATAAATGACTAGAATTTTGATAGTAAATCGTATGACACAGGCTTGTGCGTATTTTTAATCATACAGTTGAACAAAGAACAATAATATATAAATTAATTTAGCTTATTATAACGTAATATTATGAATTATAATTAACTGTAAGAATGGAAAAATGGAGTTAAATAATTTGTTTTATAATATTTACCTGCTATTTATTTATTGTATAAATGGTAAAAATACCCGAGTTGTGTTAATTAGTAGCGAACAATAGGCATATTTTTTATTTAAATTTCTGTTTTATTAGTTTGATTTTATCGTTTGTTCTTATCGTTTCCGATTTTGACAGATGTATGTAATTAAAAAGAAATATTTTAAAAGGATAGATAAGTTAAAATGACGAGGAATGAGAATTCAATTGGAATGAGTAACGGCAGTTATTATTACAATCGAGTCTCCAATAAAGGCCACCTCTAAACAGCGGCCTTTTTTTCCATGAATTTCTTCTTTCTTTGAACAAAATAACCTTCAAACAACGGCCATCTCCGAAAAACATTCATTTTTACCTTTTTGGCCGTTGTTCAGAGGTTTCACTGTATTATTTCCTCAAATTTGATGAAGAAACCATTAGACAAAAATGGTAAAAATTCTTCATTGATATATATATATATATATATATAACTTACTGTATATGTATTGATTCATTGAATAATATTTATTATAAAATTGCCTTTTATATTCCATTTAAAAACCGAGTAGATTTACTCTCATGTGTCTGGAGTTTACAAAGCTAATTTCTCCGCTGACATATTTTGACAAGTGTAATATCATTTCTGTCCATTTAGGTCAATATAAAATCGACCGAATAGCGTAATAAACACTAGGCTACTATGTTAGTTTATATACCTTAGGCTATTAGTAGGTCTGTAGGAATGCACACAGTTCTTCAATATATATTATAATGTGTCTGCTGAAGTAAGAAGAAGACAGTTCTGGAGTACTATATAATTATCCAGATATTTGAATTATGCGTAAATTTATTTAGTTTTTTTTTTCTAGAAAACCGCCAAATTTGGTGTAAAGTCACCGTCATCCTATAGACGCTAACACGGCATCAATTAACTTACCTAGACCTACTGAGGAATTGTTTGGTCGAGAATTTTTTTTTTTTTTTTTCTTCTTCTTCTCTCTTCCCTCTGTGGCAGGCGGGAGGTGTGTTGAGAGGGAGCCTTTCGCATTCTTCTTTCTGTACAAAATTGTGTCGTTGTGACCCAAGCCGCATTCCTATAAAGTGAAGTCATTTGACGTCACTTTTAAAAGTGTCCAACTCGCGCTACTATCCACGTGAGTTAAGTTGGATAACTTCTGCGATTTTAAGAAGAAAAACAAAACATTAAAAAAATCATTTAAATGATTAAAAAATTTTAATTTTTAATTAATAATTTGCTTCGAAAGTCGAAAATTTGATTGACGCTCCTTCTTCTATCGGAATTTTTATGCTGTACTTTTAGCCTTTTTTTTCTGTAGTAAATGGTTTTATTTTACGTCTAATGAGTAATTTTTATAGCTATTTATAGCCATTACCTACAATTGAATGAGATAATGAGGCAAATTTCGGTAGAGTTCACGCGAAAACGAGCGATGGAGTGAAAGAGACGTAACGCCAGACAAAAACAAGTGAATGACCTTTATCGCCATCGATCTTCGATCACTATCGCTCTTTCGATATCAATAAAGTCATTTATGAATCATCAACCGGGAACGCAACGGAAATATCTCGATTGCTTCTATTTTTTCGCCTTGTTTACGAAATTTTTAAAAATAATTCACCAATGATAGATAAAAATCGTCACGTCCTTGATAGCCACTTAATAATATTTAAACTCCGCCCGAACTCTGACGATGCACAAAAGGCGAAAATACCATTAAGCTCCGCCCAAATGCTACATCCTAACTCGAAGCCCCTCAATTAGTTTTGAAGGGAGGTCGAGCAAAACGAACTCTGAACCAAACTTTATTCAAACACTCCCCCCCACAAGACTTAGATTTATGTTAGTTTCTGCAAAACTCCTATTCAATTTAATTTTACTTTTCCTCTATGGAATATGAAGAATATTTTCCACCATTTTTACCCAATAAGATTCACTTCTTGTAATTTCTTCCTCTGTTTATCCGCCGATTTTCCATAATTTTTTACCATTCTTGTAATTCTTTCTCTGTTTATCCTCCAATTAATCCCGTTCTTTTGCGAATATAAAGATAATTTTCTACGTTTAATTCAAATTTTTCTAATTCTACGGGCATTTGTCATTTTATATTGTCAGCAATTAATAAGAGGATTACCTAACGTTACAAAAATGGATGAACGACCTGCAATACCCCTGAAAATTAATTTGTTTATTCATCATCGTCGCCATATTTCTAAGAATAAATATCCCTCACGGTAATTTACAACCCGCAGAACGTTTTGTATGTAGAAATTTCTTCGTGGGAAGGCTTCAGAAAATCCTTAAACAGTATCGCAATACACCGATTTCGCTACATTCTGGATGAATGCCCGAAACGTAGGGGTGCTGCTACGGGCCGTTTTTAAAACTGATAATTCTACGTTAGACCCGCGTAGGAGTCGCATACAAGTAGGAATATTTTGGAGTCTTCGACATGTCTAAAAATTCGAAAAAATAAATTTACGACATCCTTCTAAATGCCTTAAAGGCTCATAACCCGAGTTAATTTGTTTTTCGTCTCCGATAAAACTCGAGTAGGTGGGTTAACTCTAACGTTCCAAATTTGGTTTTCCTAAGTCAAATGCTCTATGTTTACGCTCTGAAAGGTTGGTAAATTATAATATAAACTCCGAGAGAAATTTTTTCTTAAAAATTAAAATAAATAAATAAATAAAAATTTAGCAGGCTTTAGATGAAGAGGAGGACTTTCCTGTTTTCGTTTGCTTCGGTGCGTTGTAAGCGTATGTTAGATCAACGACGAGACAAAAATAGCCGAAAATTAGTAGAATAACAGACCCTATAATAAATTAGTGCGAATACATTTTGAAAGTAAAAGTCACAAAAATAGATATTCCTAATTTAAATCAGGGATGGGGAACCTCCGGTCGAGATCACTTTTTATTTCGTCTGCGTAAACATCCTGGTTTAATAAACACAGACTTAAATCTATTGTTGGACTCGAACAAGGGCTAAAGCACGATTAGGTCTATCTTTTAAAAATTAAATTAAAAAAAAAAACTTGTAAAATTCTGCGATGTAATCGACAAAGTTCTATTCTCCCAGTGGCAATTTTGTATCCGCGATAAGTCGGGAAAAACCCTTACTTTACCCTAGATAAAAATTTAAATTTTATCACAACTGTAAGATTGATAAACTTGGAGTTATTTTGAATAAAACTGGAAGCTTCTTTTTTTTTTTAAATAAAAATAAAAATAAAGACAAAGAAAGCAAAGTTCGTTATGAATCAGATCACAGGTGATTCATGCCTTATCTATAATTTAATAGAAAAACTTTTATATTTGCAGAAAAATTGCATAATGTATTTAATAGTGACTTTTTTTTTTTTAAATTTGTGTTTAATATCTAAAGAGAAAGACTCGTTCGGGTGACATTAGCTTGCAACACACGTAGTAGGCCTAGATGAAAGATTTACAATAGGACCTGCAAAAGTCCCTGGAATAATTGAACTAGGAATTCCCCACCTCTCAAAATCTACAATTAAATGATTCTTAAGATAGCATAATATATAAATATTTATATAATTCCGCTTTTCCAAAATTAGTTATACGGGTCGATTTCACAATAGAGTACAATATCCACGTCGAGTGGCGTGCCTCACGCATTGAAAGTTTACTATAGACGAGTTTATAAGGGTTATTTTTTTATAATTTAACGTTGACAGAGGTTATT